AGGGCTCAGGCACGGCATTCTCTGGGCATGGGTTGGCACCTGAAGCCACCCACAAAGCTCCATCAGTGGCACCGGGGCACGGCAGGGCCGTCACTCCCCCTGAACAAGCCAGACGATGCTCTTAGCCCAGGAACTGCTGCCCTTTCTGCAGTTTCCAGCCTTGGAAGTGTCTCTGGGACAGCTTTTGGGCAGCATCCTGCTCGTGCACACTCCACTTGTCCTGCTACAAACCTGGGAGCCCCCTGGAGTGGAGCCAAGGGCTCGGTTTGGGACCCTGCACTGGAGGCACTCCAGAAGGACCCTGCTTGCCATTTTCAAAATGCCCTGACAGCCACAGATGGCCTTAAATGATCTCAGAAATGACAGAGGTGCTTCAGCACCACTCTGTAATGACTCCTGCATCCCCCTGGCATCACGGTGGGTGCAGGAGCCATCCCATCCCTGCAGTGGGATGCACATGAGGGGGCCAGGAGAAGGGAGCTGGGGAAGAAGGGACCAGGGAGGGTGGGGGTGAATTGGGGCTGTGGGTTATGAACCGACTGGAGCTGCAGGACCCAGCAGGGCCTGAGCAGCTCCTGTCCCCCAGAGCCACTACGTGGCCTGCATGGCCACCATCCTGAGCCAGATGGACAAGGACCACTACAGCACCTACATCCAGGCGTTCCCCTCCCGGCCCGAGCTGATGGTGAGTGCATGACGGAGCCCTCCGGCACCAGCGCCTCCCTCACGGCCTCCTCCGGAGGGCACTGCAGCCCAGCACGGCCCTGACATCTCTGCCTCCCTTGCAGGACTTCCTCATGGAGACTTTTATCCTCTTCAAGGACCTGATCGGGAAGACGGTGTATCCTGGTGACTGGGTGGTGATGAACATGGTGCAGAACCGGTGAGAGGCTGGGGGGGAGGCTGGGGTGGCTGTGAGCACCTGGGGTGCTGTGGGGTGGGGTGTTTGTGAGGCTCCCAGGATGAGGTGAGAGATGAGAATTTGACCCTTGTTCTCAGAAGGCTGATAATATAGTATAATATAGTATAATATAGTATAGTATAATATAATATAATATAATATAATATAATATAATATAATATAATATAATATAATATAATATAATANTTCCCGAGATCAGAGACGAGCCACAAGGACAAAGGGAAGCCTATAAATTATACATGGAGCAACTCCGTTTGGGAACACTTGCGAGGATGTCAAAGAGCCGCGCCAGGACCCTCCCACGCATCCCTGCGTTTTCTCTCTGCTCCGTGCTGTGCTTGGGTTTAGTGCTCGGGCGCTGCTTGCAGCACACCGGCATCTCCGAGCATGGATAATGAGTGGGGGGGATCAGGATGGTCCAATTTAGGGTCTGATGGGCTCTTCTGGGCTGGTTCTGAACCCGAGGAACTCACTCCAACCAAAGGCACCTGGCACCCAGCACTTCCCAGCCACTCTTCAAGCTCATTTACTGGGCAATGGTGCTCAGCACCTCAATCCTGGGGCTGCTCCAAGGTGCTGAGCCCACCACAGCCTCTTCTGGGGTCTACTCCAACAGGACCCCAGAGCTGTGGTCACTCCTCCCTTCAGGAGAAACATGAAGCCAAAGCTGGAGCCCTGGTGCTCCACTCTGCCAGGGTTTTCCTTGGAGTGATCATTGCCAGGAGAGCCCTGTGGGTGGAACAGGGAGCCCCAGAGCCCTGCACGGTGATCTGGGGGATGCAGGTGGGCTGGAACCACCCAAGGGATGGGTTTGGGGATGCAGGTGGGCTGGAACCACCCAAGGGATGGGTTTGGTGCCTGATTAATCCCTTCTGAAGGAGGGCAGCATGAGGCACCACGCCAGTCAGTGCGGGGCTGGGCAGAGCACGGCTCATCAAACCCATTCGCTGCTGCCGGGCTTGATGAGGTTCCAAGTTTGGTCAGGGGAGGTAAAAGCCTCGGCAGAGCACACTCGGATTTCTGTGAGGCATTTGACATTTCGATGAAGAAAGCAGGATGATCCCAAAAGCAAAGTGGCACGCCTGAAGTGGGTTAAAAGCAGCCAAAGCAGCAACGTCTCTGCTTGTAACCATCCCACGGCCCTGAGCACGGAGGGAAACTGAGGAAAGGGAGGAAATGAAGAGAAAGGAAGGAAAAAAGCCAGTTCAGAGGCAGGCAGGGGGCATGGAGCAGAGAATGTGCAGGATGGAACTCTGAGTGGCAGCTCCAAGCTCCGTTCATGGCAGCTGGAAATGCGTGTTGGCATGTCAGAGAAGCAACTTCCTTAAAAAGTGAGGCCAGCTGGCACAGGAACAGCTTGGGAAGGTTTTGCACAATGGTGGACCCTCCATCTCAGTAATTTTTTAAGGTCTGAGTGGTTTTCTTCTCTGGTTCCTATGGGAATTCCAGGCACATGGATAAAGTGAGACAGCAGGTCGCATGGGGGATGTACAGGTGAAGGCAGGTGATGCCATTGTGACATGCCATGAGTTCTGCTGGATGCTCACACAGCTGGGAATGACCTCTCCTCTGCTGAGTGACCCCAGGAGCTGAGGAAACATCAGGAATCTCATGGACACCCCTCAGAGAGCCCCAGCTCTGGGTTTCTCTGGCCACCACGGGCGGTGGATTTTGTGAATCAGAGGCACTAAACCTGCTGGCTTTGCAGAGGACACATCATGGGACACATCTGTGATGGTGCAGGGCTGCCCTCAGAGGTCAGAGCCCTGCTTCTCACTGCCCTGACTGCTACCTGCCAGCTTCAGCCCTTTCTCCACCTATCCTCTCCTTCACCCTTGCTGGTAAAGCTGTGGAAGAGGGAAAAACGAGGCAGACACATAAATCTTCTCCTCAGGACACAGGACGCCAGGAGATGAGATTTATGAGGGAGGAAGTCAGGTTCTCCTGGAACCACAGAGGAGAGGAGTGAATGACCCAGCTCTGCTCGCAGGGTAATGCCTTTGTGGGGCAACACTTCTGATTTCCTGATCTGCAGAGGGGAGAGATGAGCTGCTGGCTGTGGGCTGGGGCAGCACTGGAGCATGAGCTCTGGAGGGGCAGCAACCAGGCTCATGGCACATCACAGCAGAGCCTAATCCTGCCTTGGCTCTGGGAGGACTCGAGGCGTTTGTTCTTGGATCAGAGCATGTGTGGGACTCGAGGATGGAGGACTTGGAGCAGCTCCTGGGGCAGCTTGCACACCCCAAATCTGCTTCCTCGCTGAGGAAGCTCCACCACGAAGCCAGCTCATGCCCTGCCCTCACGCTTCTCTTCTTGGAGGCTCTTCCAGAACCCGGCTGCTGGGAGCCTCACAGCCCTCCTCATTTCCTGCAGGCTCTTAATCACACCCGCTTCCATCCCACTGTACTCGTGCCAACCGAGCGCTTCCGCCCAAGCCGCTCCTCTCCCTCCTGTGCTCAGCCCTCGCAGCCCCCAGCAAGGAGAAACTCCTTCTCCAGCCACATTCCCAGCACTCCCTGAGTCCAGCTCGGCTCCTGTCCCCAAGGCCAGCTCCCCATGTCCCTGAAGGACCTTGCAGCGCTGACCCCGTTGCTCTCAGCAGCGCTCCAGGCTCTGCTTGGGTGCTGCTGTGCCTCCCTCAGGAGCCCTGGGCTGGCCTGGCTGAGGGCACAGGAGCTGTCCCTGCCACCAGGGCCGTGCCAGGGGTGGCTGTGCCCCTCAGCCCCACACTGAGCATCACCCAGGGGTGCTGGGAGCAGCACGGGCACACAGCTCAGAGGAGCGAGGGATCTGCACTCATCCCTATGTAGGTCACTGGCTGGAGTGCTCCGAGGGAACATCAGTCACTCTCCCAGCCACGGGGACCAGGAGGAGGCTCTGGTGGCACCCAGCCTGGGCAGGGAGCCCCCAGCACCCACCTCGCCATGGTACCAGCACTCACAGCCACCCCACAGGCTTCTCTTGGGGCTCCTGGCTGGCCTGGCCACACGTGCCATGGCTCATGCCCACGGTGGCATGGAAGGGATCCCGCGGGCTGGGGAAGGAGCAGTGACATCCTCCCAGCACGCTGAGGCCACCAGCCCCGCTGCCATCGCTGCCCTCTGATGTGGAAGTGCTGCTGCTGCAGATGGAGCCGCACACGGCCAGGGATTCGGGAGTACAAAGGCTCTGCACGAGCCTTCAGAAGCTGCAGAAGCCAAATTATTCCTGTGTCTCCCGTGGATGCTAATAGGGCTGTCATGGCAGTGGTGGCTCTGTTCGCTGTGCTACCTGCTGGCGTCCCCACCTCTCTGCCAGGCGGAGCAGCTTTGGTAGCGCTGCTTTAATGAGACGTGAAGAGAGAGAGTGACCCGCCTGAGGGAGCAGCTCAGGAGGAGTTTGTTCTGTGTCCCGAGGCTTTCCTGGGCTCATCCAGGCAAGGAGGAGCATCCCTGGAGCTGCTGCTGTGCCACCCCCGGGGCTGCAGGAGAGACCACCCCGGCAGGAAGAACACCCTGCTCGGCTGCTTCCTTCCCACTGAATGGGGTTTGGGGCAGGACCATCCTCCTCCTCCTCACCCTGCGGATGCCCTGTGTGGCTACGCAGGTCCTTGTGATGGAGATCCAGCCCTGAGAGCTCGGCTGGTGGCCAGCACCAAACCCCAGGGCTCCGCTGGCATCTCCAGCACGGGCTGATCCTGCAGCAGGGACAGCACAAGGGAAGTGGGACACGGCCCAGAGAGCTTTGGCCACAGGAGACCCAGCTCATCCGCAGACCCTGTGCTCTGCAGGGAGGATGTCTCAGCTCTGGAGAAGGGGTTGGGCACCCATCTCGTGCAGAGCAATCCCTGGGCCAGGGGACCCTGGGTGACAAAGGCTCCGTGGGCTCCCTCACAGGCCAGAAATGGCATCAGAAAGCCACCAACTGTCCCCAGAACGCACTTCTGGAAATAGCTGGAAAGGCTTCACCGCCCAGCAGTTCCTGCACTGCCCCAGCTGCCCCTGCACAGCCCGGTGCAGGCTCGGGGGGCTCGGTCCTGG